AGCTTCTATTTAAGAAGATAGACCAAAGAAATCCAGAAGCCCAAGATGCGATGTGTGGTGCAGAGTATTTGAATGAAGATCAGAGACAGACACAGAAGTAACATTGTTATCAGAAGATACTACAGACTACCTAGATAGAACAAGGAAACAGATGAGGAATTCAGGAAACAGACCATAGGCCTGGCACACAGGCATGATACAGTAGTAATGGAAGACTTCAATTATCTGGACATCTGCTGGAGTTCCTTCTCAGCTAATACTTTCCTGGCTCACTTTAATGATAATTTCATTTTTCAAAAAATAATCACAAATGAGAAAAAGTTCTCCTCTGGACTTAATTTTTACCAAGAAAGGAGCAGACTCTGAGAAGTGGAAATTATGACATGAGAACACAGTCTGTAAAACTCTAAGACAGTGAGTTCTACTTCAATTTCTATGCCTGCCTAGCAAAGAATAGTAAATGCTCAGGAAATGTTCATTAACATCACTCAATCTAATTCTTGGCAAAATCTTCAAATGTACATTCTTTATAATTTGTTCTTTTTTTTTTAAATATAAATGTATTTATTTTTAGCTTTCAACATTCACTCCCACAAGTTTTTGAATTCCAAATTTATGCCCCCACCTGCCCCCTCCTCCAAAGATGGCATGCATTCTGAATATCCCTTCCCCTAGTCTGTCCTCTCTTCTATCTCTCCCCCCCTTCTCTTATCCCCTTCCCCTTCTATTTTCCTGTAGGGCACGACAGACTTCTGTACCCCATTTCCTGTATTTCTTATTTCCCAGTAGCATGTGAAAACATTTTTTTTAAACATGTGCTTTTAAAACTTTAGGTTTCAAATTTTCTCTCTTCCTCCCTCCCCACCCACCCTCACTGAAAAGGCAAGCAACTCAATATAGGTCGTACATGTGCAGTTATGCAAAACACGTCCACAGTAGACATGTTGTGAAAAACTAACTCTATTTCCCTTAATCCTATCCTGCCCTCCCATTTATTCTATTCTTTCTTTTGACCCTGTCCCTCCTCAGAAGTATTTACTTCTGATTACTCCCTTTCCCAATCTGCCCTCCTCTCTATCATCCCCCTGCTCTCTTGTCCCCTTCTCCCCCTATTTTCCTGTAGAGTAAGACAGATTTCCATACCCAATTCAACGTGTTTGTTATTCCCTCCTTAAGCCAAATCCTATGTGAATAAGATTCACTCATTCCCTCTCACCTTCCCCCGTTTTCCCTCCACTGTAAGAGACTTTTGGTTTTTTTTGTGAGATAATTTACCCCATTCTACCTCTCCCTTTCTTCTTCTCCGAATATAATCCCCTCTCATCCCTTAAATTTATTCTCCAGGTATGACCCCTTAATCTTCAACTCACCCTGTGCCCTCTATCTATCTATCTACATATATACATATAATTTTTTTCCTCCAACTACCCTAATACTGACAAATGTCTCATAAGTTATAAATATCACCTTTCCATGCAGGAATGTAAACAGTTCAATCTTAATAAGTCTCTTATGATTTCTCTTTCCTATTTACCTCTTCATGTTCCACTGGAATCCTGTATTTGAAAGTCAAATTTTCTATTCAGCTCTGGTCTTTTCATCAAGAATGCTTGAAAGTCCTCTATTTCACTGAATGAGCATTTTTCCCCTGAAGGATTATACTCAGTTTTGCTGGGTAGGTGATTCTTGGTTGTAATCTTATCTCCTTTGCCCTCCAGAATATTATATTCCATGCCCTGTGGTCCTTTAATGTAGAAGCTGCTAAATCTTGTGGAATTTGGCTACAATATTCCTAGGAGTTTTCCTTTGGGGATCTCTTTCAGGAGGAGATCTGTGGATTCTTTCAATTTCTATTTTGCCCTCTGGTTCTAATATATCAGGGCAGTTTTCCTTGATACTTTCTTGAAAGATGATGTCTAGGCTCTTTTTTTGATCATGGCTTTCAGATAGTCCAATAATTTTAAAATTCTCTCTCCTGGATCTATTTTCTAGGTCAGTTGTTTTTCCAATGAGATATTTCACATTGTTTTCTAATTTTTCATTCTTTTGAATTTGTTCTACTGTGTCGTGATTTCTTATAAAGTCACTATCTTCCAATTGCTCTATTCTAATTTTTAAGGAAATATTTTCTTCAGTAAGCTTTTGGACTTCCTTTTCCATTTGGCCAGTTTTGCTTTTTAGGGCATTCTTCTCCTCATTGGCTTTTTGGACCTCTTTTGCCATTTGGGTTAGGCTATTTTTTAAGGTGTTATTTTCTTCAGTATTTTTTTGGGTCTCCTTTAGCAGGCTGTTGACTTGTTTTTCGTGATTTTCTTGCATCACTCTCAGTTTTTCCTCTACTTCCCTTACTTGCTTCTCAAAATCCCTTCTGAGCTCTTCCAAGGCCTGGGACTGATTCATATTTTTCTTGGAGGCTTTGGATATAGGAGCTTTGACTTTGTTGTCTTCTTCTGGTTGTATATTTTCATCGTCTTTTTCACTAAAGTAAGATTCTATGGTCTGACTTACATTCTTTATTATTAAAGGGATCGTTGTTTAGTATAAAAATAGTAGCAGTTGATCATGTCAATATGACTTCAAACAGATCATTCCTTTTTGACCCGATTATTGGACTGGCAGAGGAAGTGAATGCTCTAATTTTATCTAGATTCAAAGGATGAGGCAAAGTCTCTCATGTTCATTTTATGTAAAAGAGAGATGTGAGTCTTATGGTAGTAAAGTTAGGTGGATTCAGAACTAACTCTGTGACTAGACCTAAAGAGGGGCCATTACTGGTTTGATGTCATCTTGAGAAAAGGTCTCTGGTAAAATACCCAGGGAATTAGGCCCTGTGGTGGTGGTGGTTGTTCTTGTTTTAACACTTTTATCAGGGACTTTGACAAAGGAATATATATTTATCATATTTGTCAGTGACATAAAACTAGTATGACAGCTAACACTATGGCTAACAGTCAAGATCAAAAATATCTTGGAAAGTTAGAACTTTGGGTCAATTATAATAGGAAGAAACATAGTTGGAATAAATGGAAAGAATTATACTTGGCTTAAAAATTACCTGCCATACCAGGTGGAGGAGGCATGGCTGTAGAGCAGTTAATCTGGAAATACCTTAAGGGTTTTCGTGTGCTACAAGCTCAGTGTGGGTCAGTAGAATGACACAATACCCCAAAAAGCTAATTCAGTCTCAGGTTGCATTAAGAAAGGTATTGTGGCCAGGACTAGGGGAGGCAGTGTTAGTTTCAACCTCAAAACATATCCAGAATATTCTGTTCTGTGTTGGACACATTTCAGGAAGGGCATCAACAAGATGATGTGTAACCAGGATGGTAAATGGCTATGAAATCATGTAATATACAGGGTGAAGTAACTGAGAATTATCTGTAGAAAATATGGGGGGAATGGTTGCCTAGATTGTATCTATCTTCAACATTTGAAGGATTGTCATGGGAAAGGGAATTAGACTTGAGACTTGTTCATCTTGGCCTTAGAAGGCTGAATTATGAACAATGAGAAGGAAGTTAGAAAGAGGGAAAATTTGGGCTTGACATAAGGAAAAACTAGAGCTATTTAAAAATGGAATGGAATGTCTCTTAAGGTATTAGATTTCCCTTCAAGGGAGGTCTTTTGTTTTTTAAGCTGGATGTTTATTTTTCAGGTATGTCGTAGAAAGGATTCTTATTTAGGTACAGCTTAGGCTAGATTAGATGGGCTCTAGGGGTTCCCTTCCCACTGAATTCTGATTTTGAGTCACTCTCCATCTTGTAAAGACAAGCAATGATATGGAAATCATTATTTCCTGAGGTAGCACGCTCCACTGTTGGCCAGCTCTGTTAGAAAGTTGTTCCTTTTACTAAACAAAGTCTACTTTCCCTTAACTTCTACCTATTTCTGCTAGTTATTTCTGCTATCCTGATAGCACAGGATAACATAAATATGCAATATGCTTAGGAAAAAAAATCTTAATTTGGATTTGCAAAGCATGCATAGACAATTACCTATTTTTAGTGCAATCATAGTTCTAAAAGGGACCTTAGAGCTAAGACACAGATTTTGGCTTAAGATAAGGAAAAACTTCTTTAAAATTACAATTTCCAAAAATAGAATGATCTACCTCAGGAGGTAGTAAATTCCTCAATCCTGGAGATCTTCAAGTACAAGTTGGTCTTAGAGGTGAGTTAAACTAGTTGACTTCTGATGTGGCTTCCAACTTTGAGATTCTATATTCTAAACTGTAAAGAGGTATGATTCCCCTATGACATTTCTAGTTTTACAAACACACACACATGCACACACACAAAGAGCTATTTTCTCCTAAGATATACTAGCTGAAACTCTGATGAACAAAAACGGCAGACAACTCTTGAAAATTTTGAAACAATTTATTTTAAATGACCTTAGGGGAACCAAGAGAGACAAGGGGGGAAAACAGTCATGTTTCATGACTCATGATATTAACTATTTAATAATGAATCAAACAAAACCAATTGAGCTTCAAAAGATAATGCACACAATGCTTCATCATATCACCAAACTCAAATTTCTGATTTACACACATGTATTGCTAAAAGAAATGCAAGAGGTAAGGGGTAGAAAAGTCAGGGAAAGGAGGTATAAGAGAAACAATTTGAAGCAAGGTCAAGGAAAATTCATTTCAAACATTGACCATTGTAGAGGAAATGTTATAAAGGTATTTATTGCCTCATGTACAGGTTACACTATCATGATCTCTATGAGGCCACTATGACCCTGGGATTCCAAGATTCTCAAATGTTGTTGAGGCAGTTTAACAACTTAGTTTAGCTTCAGATTAAAAACATATGCCTTTTAACAAGTTGGCCAACATATATGAATGGTTTGTTAAACCATCTTGGGCTGTTGGGAGGAAGAGGGAGAGAAGACTGGCACACAGATACAAAATACATATGAATGAACATTCAGGTTCCCACAATCTCTATTTTTTTTTTTAGAAAACTACAGGGACATTGATGAGTAGGACTTACTATTAGTTGGGTCGTGATCAACTGAGTCATCCTGACAGAACCCTAGGGAAAAAGAAAAAAGAAAAAACAGCATTTATGATCTCTCAGTTAATTCTAACCTGCCTTCAAACAGAAAATATTTAGTCACCTGCAAATCTAATGAATGTCAGGAATCCATTCAAGGCTGCTCATGTGTTACCAAAATCAATCTATCCTAAAAGATGTCATGATGGTGTAGAAAGCACACTGGGTTTAGAGTTAGGAGCTGATATCTGGAATCTTGGTTTCCAAATTGTAGTAGTTACATGACCTGGGATGAGTTATATCACCTCTCTGAATCTCAGTACCTTTGATCTGTAAATGAGGGCAATCATACTTACACCACTTACCTCACAGAATTTTGAGGAAAGCGTGTTGCATTTTCACCAGCATCCTCCAAACCTGGAATTCTCGCCCTCCTCATCTCTGCCTCCAAGCTGCCCTGGCTTCTCAAGCCTCCGCTGAAATTCTACCTTCTCTAAGAAGCCTTTCCCAGTACCCTTTAATGCAATGGGCCTTTCTTCTGAGACTACCACCAGTTTATGCTACATATATCTTGGTTATACACAATAGTTTGCATTTTGTCTCCGCCATTAGTATGAGCTCCCTGAAGGCAGGGATTACTTTTGTCTTCCTTTGTATCTCCAGCACTTAGCATAGTGCCTGGCACTTAATAAATGCTTGCTGATAGGGCAGATAGGTGGTGCAGTGGATAAAGCTCCAGCCTTGGAGTCAGGAGGACCTCAGTTCAAATCCAGCCTCAGACACTTGACATTTACTAACAGCAGTATGACCCTGGGCAAGCCACTTAACCCCGACTGCCTAAGCAAAAAGTTAAAAAAAAAAAAAGCTTACTGACTTGACCAGTGTGAACTATTATTACTTTATAAACAACTTTTCTTATATTGAGCGTAGTATTCCAAATGATCATAGAAGTGTTAAAGAACATGTCTGGTATAACAAATTCAAGATGCAAGTATCTCTTATCATATCAAAACAGAGACAGAATCAAGGACATTAGGCTACTTAGAATACTGCAACTTCCCCAAAACTCAGCTCAAGTGCCATCTCCTATAAGAGGACAAACTTGACCATGCAAGTTACTAATGCCTTTTCCCCTTCCAAAATTACTATGTATGTACTTATCTGGGTATACGCTGGACTGGGTTTTTTTTTTTTTTTGGGGGGGGTCTTTGTATCCTAAGCAACTAATACAGTGCTTGGCACATTAATAGGTTCCTAATAAATACTTGTTGGACAAATATCTTAGCAGTATGATCCGTATGTCTAAATAATCTAGGAGCTAGATAATGTATAACTATGATGAACATTTCTGGAGCCTTTTTTGATCTTCTGCCCCACCCCAGTTGAAAGTAACCTTACCTAAATAGAAGTATATTAATTGTTCATGGATAGGCCAAGTAAATACAATAAAAATGACAATACCATCTGAACCAATTTACTTACTCAGTGCCATATAAACTACCAAAGGATTAATATTATATATTGTTGTTTTTGTCATTGTTTACTCATTTTCAGTAGTGTCCAGCTCTCTGTAACCTAATTTGGTATTTTCTTGGCAAAGTTACTGGAGTGGTTTGCCATTTCCTTCTTTAGCTCATTTTAGAGATAAGGAAACTGAGGCAGAGTTAAGTGACTGCCTAGGGTCACACAGCTTAGTAAGTATCTGAGGCCAGATTTGAATTCAGGAAGATGAATCTTCCTGACTTCAGGCCCAGCACTCTAGCCACTGTGCCACCTAGCTATATGGGTGCATATGGATGTATGCATATATATACACACACACATTCTCATATGCACATATATGTATGCATATATAACAAAATTCATCTGGAGAAACAAAAAGTCAAGAATCTCAAGGGAAATAATTTTTTTTAATGGTAACAAAGGTGCTTAACAGTACCAGATCTCAAACTATACTACAAAGCAATAATCATCAAAATGATTTGGCATTAATTAAAAAAAGAGGGGTCAATGAGTGGAACAGAATGAGGATACAATATACAGAAGAAAACTAATCTAGTAGTCTAATGTTCAATAAATCCTGGGTGGTCTTCTCTTCTCCCTCTCTACCTCTTCACTTGGCAATCTCATCAGCTCTAAAGGATTTAATTATCATCTTTATGCTGATGATTAATAATCTACCTTTCCTGCCTGCCCCAGTCTCTCTCCAATTTCAATCTCACATTTCCAACTGCATTTCAGACATCTCTAACTAGATGTCCAATAGTTATCTTAAACTCATTATGTACAAAACTAAACTCATTATCTTTCCCCCTAAACCATCCCCTCCTCCTAACTTCCTTATTAAAAGGCAACACTATCCTCCCAGACCCTTAGGCTCACAACCTAGGAGTCATCCTGGCTCCTCACTATCACTGACCTTGCCCCCCCTATCCATGCTGTTGCCAAGGTCTGTTGATTTCACCTTTGCAACATCTCTGGTATATGCCCCCTTTTCTCCTCTGACACTTCCACCATTCTGGTGAAGCCCCTCATCATCTCACATCTTGATTACTGCAACAGTCTACTGGTGGGTCTACCTGCCTCAAGTCTCTCCCTACTTCAATCTATTCTCTATTCTGCCACTAAAGTGATTTTTCTAAAACCCAGGTCTGATCACCAATTAATTCCAGTGGTTTCCTACTTCCTCCAAGAGCAAATACAAAATGTTCCGTTTGGCATTCAAAGACTTTTATATCCTAGCCCACTCCTACCTTTCCAGTGTTCTTACACCTTTACTCCCTAATGTGTATTCTTCTGACACTGGCCTCCTGGTTGTTCCATGAATGAACAGGGCTCTCCTTATCTCTTGACTCCAGGCATTTTCTTTGGCAGTTCCCATGCCTGGAATGCTCTCTCTCTTCTGTCTGTTCTGACTACTGACCCCCCTGACTTCCTTACTTAAATCCCACCTTCTATAGAAAGTCTTCCTTGACCCCTTTTAATTCCAGCGCTTTCCTCTCTTTTACTTACTTCCTATTTATCCTGCATATAACTTGCTTTGCATATACAGTGTTTGCATACTGTCTCCCCCATTAGATTTTATGCTCCTTGAGGAAAGGAACTGTCTTTCCCCTCTTTTTTTATTCATTGCGCTTAGTATACCGCCTGGTACATAGTGGGAACCTAATAAATATTTATTTAACTGGGAAGCTGGTCCAACCATTCTGAGAATCAATTTGGAATTATGCTCAAAATGTACTAGTGTGCATATCCTTTAACACAGCAATACCACTACTAAGCCTATACATCAAGGAAATTCTAACAGGAAAAGGACCAATAGGGATAACAAATGTTTATAGCAGCTCTTTTATAGTGGCAAAGAACTGGAAACTAAGGAGGCACACATCAGCTGAAGAGTAGAAGAGATTACAGTATATGATTGTAATTGAATATTACAGTGTTGTAAGAAATGGCAAAAAGGATGGTTTTCAAAGAAAATTGGGAAGATTTGTATGAAGTGATGTAGGAAGATGTGAATAGAACTATGAGAACAATTTATATAAAAACAACAATTCTGTTAAGAATATTGATCAATGCAATAACCAAACATGATTACAGAAGACTGATGATGACACATGATCCCCACCTCCTGACAGAGAGATGCAGAACGCAATCTGAAAGGGGCGGAGCTAAGATGGGGGAGTAAAAGCAGTGACTTGCTTGAGCTTTCCCCCAAACCCCTTCAAATACCTACAAAAAACAGCTCTAAACAAATTCTAAAGCAGCAGAATCCACAAAAAGAGAGAGTGAAACAAACTTCCAGCCCAACACAACCTGGATGGTTGATCAGAAAGGTACATCGAGTTAGGCTGAAAGAAGAGCGCAGTACGGAGTGGGTGTGCAGGTCTCAGCGAACCTAGAGCAGGCCTCAGAGGACTGAATCTCAGGCAGCTGTAGCAGTGTCCAGACTTCTCAACTCACAAACGCCAAAGACAGCTTAGAAGGTCAGTGGTAAAAGTCTGTTTCTACGGTGAGAGAGAAGCCCGGTGTTTTCAGCCCCAGTTCCAGAGCGTGGCCCTGGGGCGGCTGCTGCCAGAGCTACTGGCCCAAGTAGCTGATCAGAGGTGGATTGCAGGGATCTCTGTGCCAGTGCTGAGGCAGGAATCTCTTGCTTTGCCGATACTTGGATCTAAGTCACAGTTCTGAGGGGCGGTCCTGGGGCAAGGAGGACAGCTGGCCTGGTGGAGCTTGTAGTGGCTGTGGAGAGGAAATTCTCCTCACAGTTCCAAGGCAGAAAAGACTGCTTATAGTCACTCCAGTGCACAGGCCAGGAAAGGAGTAAACACTCTGCCCCTTATCATACCACCTTGAAAGAACTGAAAATGTACAGGTCCCTACAAGTATCTCTGAAAACAGCTGTACAAACCCCCAAAGCTTGGGACAGTACATTCTCCACACTGGAAACAGATCTGTACCTTAATAAAGAGTTTATAACTCAAATAATTGGCAGGAATCATGAGCAAACCTCACAAGAAGTGCCAGACCATAGAATCTTTTTTTGGTAACAAAGAAGATCAGAACATACAACCAGAAGAAGACAACAAAGTCAAAGCTCCTACATCCAAAGCCTCCAAGAAAAATATGAATCAGTCCCAGGCCTTGGAAGAGCTCAAAAAGGATTTTGAGAAGCAAGTAAGAGAAGTAGAGGAAAAACTGGGAAGAGAAATGAGAGTGATGCAAGAAAATCATGAAAAACAAGTCAACAGCTTGCTAAAGGAGACCCAAAAAATACTGAAGAAAATAACACCTTAAAAAATAGCCTAACCCAAATGGCAAAAGAGGTCCAAAAAGCCAATGAGGAGAAGAATGCCCTAAAAAGCAAAATTGGCCAAATGGAAAAGGAAGTCCAAAAGCTTACTGAAGAAAATACTTCCTTAAAAATTAGAATAGAGCAATTGGAAGCTAGTGACTTTATGAGAAATCAAGACACTGTAAAACAAATCCAAAAGAATGAAAAATTAGAAAACAATGTGAAATATCTCATTGGAAAAACAACT